CTAAAATTAGTAAAGTGTTGAAAAGAGTTATTTAGTAACAAAAGTGATTTAGACCATCGATTTGGAGCTCTATCAGGGCAAGGGCACGCCATGCGTGCCTATGTTAAGTTTTTTTTATCTCAATGACGCTTTTGTCTGGATGTTGCCCACACTGTTTTCACGATTTATTACGGGTTAGGGCATATTACTTGTAATCTGATGTTTTCGTGTCATTTGGAAGGCCGTCAAAGCTGATCGCTTCCGTGGACGTTGGGCATTTACAAAACTGATTTTACGCTCTCGATGGCGCACAAGATACGCCAGCATCCACACAGAATTTCTGCTTTCTTCGGTGTCTCGAAACGGCAGGAATCAAAGAAAGTACCAGTGAGGAGCCGTATTTTCACCTCTACCCCTTCAAAACAGCAATAACTTACAAATCCTGTCTTAGCGCTTTAAATTAATCAGGCTTATAAGTAGGATTTATAGTTTTTAACTAAGTTTATGGGTCTAATTAAGTTTAAATCTAAAGTTTTTAAGGATAATCGAACTCAATTAAGGTTAAATTATAACTTCAAAGATTCTCTCAAAAGGTATCTATGGATCACCTTTGCTCTACAAGTAGATGTGAGCCTTCAATTTTGTCTTCATTTTTCGAAGAAGTATAAATAACGATGCGAAACGAGCAATCCACACGCTTGCTCTTCAATATAAACCCTAAAAGAAAAGTTTGTAATTCGGCCAAGTTGACCTTGCGGCTCCACCCCAAGCGGTTTAAGTCTGTTAACTTTTTATGCGTTTTTATTTGCAAAAACGCATATTGTGACGACACGGGTGTGTCTGTGTGTGTGTGCGTGTGTGTGTGTGTGTGTTTGCGTGTGTATGTGTGACTCTGTTTATGTGTGTCTGTGCGTGTTTGTGTGTGCGGACCGGTACTTAGCTGGACCAGTACTTGGCTGGGGAACCCGCGAGACCCCCAAGGTCCCATGCGGCCCCGTGAAAGTTTGGGCGGGAAAATTGCCAATAGGAGAATCCGAAGAGCTGAAAAGTAGAATTTCTAATGGGATGTTCCCCTTCCAAGTACCACGTAGTTACACAATTGACTTCGAGAACTTCGAGGACCAGTACGTCACAAATTCGAGCTACTGGGTTTCCGAGTAATCTTACTACAGCACGAAATAGTGCAAAGATGCATGGCCGCACAGGTCCGTCTGGTCCGCATCGCCAATGACTGAGCTATGACCTATTTCGGCTGCATACCTAACCCAATTAGCAGTCACCGGCTGTTCGATGTATGTGTAGTACATAAGATTTAAACAAACCATTATATATTTATTCTCACAAACAAGATTTACAAGATCTGTTCTTCCGCAAAAGTACAGAGTTTTTTCTGCATCACCCTAAATGGATTTGATGTATTTGATCTGAGTAAGAGAATATACAAATGTATTTGACCGAAGTAAAACATATCCAAATGTATTTGTTTCAAAGGTCCTACACAGCACTGTGTCAAAAATACTTTCTCTTACAAAATTTATAAAACATATCCAAATGTATTTGCTTCATTGCATCAAAAAATACATTTTTTTACGAACTTTACATGAGATTTTTTTCAAAAAATGAGTTACAGCTCGATTCTCCTCAAACGATCCTATCCAAATTTGATATCAAATTCTGATACTGGATTTTTTTCAAACAACAGGTACTCATCAAACATCGAGTACTAGAAAATTCAATAAATATGTAACAGTGAAATACTAAATTTTGATATTTATTTCATATTTGATCCAAATAAACCAATATCCAAGCGCAGATGTCCAAGCAATTATAATTTTTATATACATTGCTTTCAAAGAACTTAACAAAATGAGAATTTTCAAAAAATTTACAAAGCAATACAATGTTTTTTTTCAGTTAATCGCTTTAAATGGGCCTCGTTCAGCTGTGCCATTATCCGATCGTTTCGAAACAGTTGAATCACGCATCATTTTGCGGAACTGCTTCTTAACACTGCGTAGCGACCGTAAAGCGTACTGCAA